ATTAGAGGAAATCTGGGAAGAAACTAAACTAAATAACTCTTAAAAAATAAATAAAAAAGCTGGTTTCTTTTAGGAGATTGTATATTGCACCATCTGGTGTCTGTCTGTGGCACTGCAGCTTCCTTCCTTCTTTCCTTCCTTCCTTCCTTCCTTCCTTCCTTCCTTCCTTCCTTCCTCCCTCCCTCCCTCTCTCCCTCCTTCCCTAGCTCCCTCCCTGCCTCCTTCCCTCCCTTCTTCTCTCTTATACAAAGGCCTCTCCAGTGGTTCTGGAGAGTCTGGGGGCCACTACAGGTGACACTCGGCGTGATGGTTCAGAGTTTGGGCCAGGCAATGTGATGCTATTTGGGCCTGAGGGTGTGGGGGGTCACCCGGGCTACACCCAGACATGGCTGAAGGTCCATGAAGTGCAGAGCCTCACCTATGGAAGGCAGGTGGTCCACCCCTTTGGATCATATCCTTGTTCTTCTATATTCTCAGTGTGCTAAGTTCCCTGTCAGTGCTCCCAGTCAGGTAGAAACACTGGCAGGTTCTCTGAAAAATAATCATGTTAAGAATTATGCGCCCACTCTTGCTCCAACCTGAAGTGGAACCCATGAAATAGACTATTATCTGCAAAGGCTGAACTGTGCTGGCTAAGGATGGGAGCTGATTGCAAAGCAAGGAAGACAGCTTTTCTTACTCATTTCAAGGGGGGCATGTTCTAAGCACTGGGATTTCCCAGCGTGATGCAACATCTTCACTGGTTTCTGGGGTTCTTGTAATGGAATTCTGGTCTGTATATTATTAAGTATCTCTGTGGGGGAACATCCTATGCTTGCTCTTTCACTGGTCTTTTTAATTTATTGCACTCTAATGTGTAGGTCTGGCGTTCAAAGAAGATGTCAAATATCCAAGGGAAGACATTCTCAGGCTACAGATGCCTTGTGCTGACATGAATGATTCGGACACAGAAGGTGCTTAACTTGCGCAAAGTTATCTTCTTAAAATTACGTATTTTAAAGTCTTATTGTTTTGGGTCCAGACCGACAGTACAGTAGGTAGGGCATTTGCCTTGAATGCAGCTAACCCTGGTTCGATCCCCAGCACCCCATATGGTCCCCAGAACACCGTCAGGAGTAATTCCTGAGTGTAGAGCCAGGAGTAACCCCCGAGCATCACTGGGTGTGATCTAAAAAGCTCCCCTTCCAATAAATAAATAAATAAATAATACATCCATGTTAGCCTTTATTCTAGATTATACCTACTTAAATATACTGCTATTGTGGGGTCTCCAAATAAATTCCCCCAAGGGTTTATCTTAAAAATCTTAGTTTGGATCCATACTGCAAGAAAACAAATGTACTTTAAAAGTATCATAAATTTGTCTGACACTCAAGAAACTTTGTAAATCACAGTGCCTTAATAAAAATATATATATTTTAAAAAGTATCGTGTGTGCTAATTTATCGTCTGTGAAAGTCTTAATACAGAATTGTAAAATTTTCAAATTTTCTTGAAGAATAATCACTCCTAATACTTCCAATAAGCATGCATTCATGAAAATATTTCACAAGTATCAGCTCCTCTTTTAGGTCGCCTAGGACGTTCTATAATTCCTATTACATGACAGAAGTTCTTATGCTTTTTCTTTAATATTTATGTATTAACTTCTTTTGTCCTTCACCACAAAATTCTAGAGTGAAGGAGCTGTCCAATTCATCTCTATAACCCGATACTACCCAGTTCTTTGTATGTACTAACATGCAATTCAAGGGTACTAAAACAAACTCTAAAAAACTTAGATTGGGGGAAAATATCTTCTAAATCAACCTCAGCTAAAGAATGACAAGAAATGTCTCACAATTATATATCTTATAAATTCTACCAGATAGCAATTAATGAGCTTTTATGCTTCTAATTCTTCTGGAAAAATGTGTTATTTATTCTTTATTTAAAGGGTTAGTGGTTCCTACTTCAGTTCCATGTCTGTCAAAACCAGTTCAGAAGAAAACCAGAAACGCATTCAAGTGATTCCCAGAAACGTGAAAATTCCCATCATTTGCCACCACCACCCTTTGCCTTCCCAAATCGGGAAACACACTCTCTTCTTCCAAGTGTCACAAATTCAGGCAGAGCAGTGTAAGAATTGACAGCTAGTGAAGAAAGAGCCCAAAAGAAACTGCAAAAAGCAGGAAGTGCCACGTATAAGGAAAGGAGAGATAAATGTGTTTGTCAAACAAATGACCCAGGATCCCAACTCTGGACTGAGCAAAATAAACACAGAACGTGGTGAAATCCATTGGTGGGGAGATAAAAGTTTTGCTGAGAATCAAGAAGCCTTGAGCTCACAAGCAAGGAAATATTATTTCAGGGACACCGGGCCTTTCAAAGAAGAGGGAGAGGATCAAGCTACTTCCAAGCTTCCGGCAGTTGGTTGGCACTTAATAAATGATAGCTATCATCACTTATTAAGGAACCAAAGTCCAGATCCCCAGCTGGTTCTGGCAGACCTTCCCCCAAGTTCCCACCAGGCTCTGGGTAGACTTCCTGTAGCAGCACTTACGATCACACTATCCACCAATCCACAGATCTGTGCCCACTCTTATGCAGGCATTTTCTTAACAACTAGGGTCTCACACGTCTCTGGAACTGGAACTAAAAGGCACCTAATGATTATTAAGGGAGTGAATAAGTGAACAACCTCACATGATCTCTCTCAACAAGAAAAGAATTTTACTGGAGGGCAGAGCAAGGCTAGAAGACCCGGGCTGCCCATCTTCTTGGCTACCCCTTCAGCTCCAAGCATCATTCTCTTTCCTTACTCGTTCTGTTCCAAGCACAGCGATATCTCTTCTCCCAGGACCAGGAAAGGTAGGTTGCCTAGAGTAGATTCTGGGAGAGCCAGCGTTTGTTTTGTAAATTTCCACTTCTTATTTTGGAATGAATTGTAAAGGGGTCAGCTACACTGTCTTCACCTACTATTGTCTACGGTTCGTATCTTACATAGCTGTGTTATTTCTGAAAGCAGAACAGGCACATGAACCAACACAAAGAGGATTCTCTAGATCTTATTTGAATCCCCCAAATCCCCCCACTTTCATCCCTTTTCTGGTTAGGCAGCACATCGCATTTAATGATCAGACTTATTTTGCTTCCTCTAATTGGTGGCACTTTCCTGATCTTTCCTGTATCAGAGAGGGCCAGGTCCCTAAATTTGGTCTGACAGTGCTAAATGCGACTCTAGGCTCTGTGACCTACTGTCTCTGTAATCCAAGGCAGATGCGAACATTTGTGAGACTTGAAGAGTCCTGACCTACAAAATAGGAAAACGGTATTTCATGTTTTAAACATCAAATGTGCGGATATACAGCAAAACGCCTAGGATAGAAAACGCCCGGGATATATCACGCCAGCAGAGGCCAAGTCCTCTCTCCTTGTCCCCATCTTTCCGCTATCTCTGATAAAATATTCTGCTAACGTGGTCGAGTCCTATTGGAATACTGTCACTAAAGGATGAAACCATCAAATTCAAGTGACTCACTGTCACAGTGATAATGTCATCACCACTGTTGGATTGTGTAACAATTCTAGGTTTGGACTTTTGTTTTCTCCTGCCACAGTCCCGGCTCATTATCAATCTACTCGATGGTATGCATAAGGCTGAAAGTTCCCTTTCTGATTTTCAGCTGGAGACAGGTGGGGTGCCACTAATTCACCTTTATGTTCATTAATATCTACTGCCTTCATGAAGAGTCAGGGGCTGTGCTAGGATCCTGAAGGGAAGCAGTAACTTGTCCTCACTGATTTTATGGCCAGCAGGGAAAATAGCGAACAGCTTGCTTCAATCCTATGTGGTCAAGTCTGTCACTGTCACAGTCACTGTCTTCCCATTGTTCACTGATTTGCTCGAGAGGGCCCAGTAACATTGTGAGACTTGTTACTGTGTTTGGCATATCGAATACATCACGGGTAGCTTGCCAGGCTTTGCCGCGCGGGCAAGATACTCTCAGTAGCTTGCCGGGCTCTCTCAGAGGGGCAGAGGAATCGATCTAGGAGAGATATAATGTCTAGTAACTTCTGTTAAGATGGCCCAACTGGATTTGGGGAGTCAGGTCGGGGAAGGTCTCACAAAGAAGGTGCCATTATATTTTAAGGTCTACAGAATGCTTAAAAATGAACCAGACAGAAGGAGGAAAAGGAGCAAAAACCATGCGGCTTAGGAAGAGCTATTAGAACTCTGCAGAGAAAAAGTAAATTGGTTCTGAAAAACATAACCCCCATGTTGTAAACTGACAGCTTGAGAATGATTTTGTGCCAATCCCTCAGGGACTCAGAAATTTCACCAGGAAACTTCTGGCCCCAGGGCTCTGGTCTGGAGACTGCAGTTGACGAAGTCAAATCTCTAGCTAATAGGTCCAGCTTACCTCTCACCACGTCTGTGAGCTGAAGGAAAAGATCAGGCTGCCCCTGGGTGCTTGCTCCTATTTCTAAAGGACTAACTGGTATGCCCCTTTCTGAGTGGGAAGGAGTTTCTTGCTAAGTATTATTAATATTTAAATATCTCTGGTCCTTACACGAACTTTTAAAAAAATTTTACTTTTATTTATTTTTTAGAGCATTACAAAGTCGTTCATGATTACACAACCCTTTTTTGTGCCTTTGCAGAGTTGCCAGGAAAGGCTGGGGGACTTTCTCCTTTTCTTTTCCTTCTCCATTACTCTCCTGAGGTGTCAGAAGCTTTGCTCTGAGGTCAACGGACTCCTCAACTCCATCCTGACCACGCACATATGTGATCTTAAAAGTGTTGCCAGTGTAATATTATTAAATACTTTGGAGAATCCACTCTAAGATTTTCAAGTTTACAGGCTTCTATGCCAGAACCTGTTTTTATTCACTCTCCTAAACATCTTCTCTTTTTTCTTTTCCCCCCCTCCCATCTGGAGAGTAAATAAGCCAAATTCTTTTCGTTTTCTCCACAGGGAATATTTCTTAGACTGTTAACTCAAACCAATATTACATACCGTCAACTGGTGTATCAAGAGGTCCATTAGGAAGGTAATCTTGTTACTGAACAGAACGTTGGAGCAGTTCTCTGAGCAGTTATTGCAGGTGAGGCTGTAAACACTGATTGCATTGCAGAGAGACCTAACAGGAGGAGAAAAACACCATTTATGAGACCCGAGGAGCTCTTCTCTGAACAATTTAAAAGACATAAAATGAATGGTATGAAAGCAACAGGCAGGGAATGGAAGCCATTCTAAAAACCCGAGTCGGTGATCACTGGGTTGGAAGGTCACCAGTTACAAATCAAAGCTGATCATGTTCATCCGAAGCCTGGTGTCCGTCAGGCCCTCATAATCACTGACGACTAATTAATATCTTCATTGTATTAGCAATGGAAACATATTTACCTGTCTATCTGATAGTCTCTTAGTAATCTAAGATTAGATGTCACCCAGGAGTTTGGGGATTTTTTGAACACACAGGTGAGGGGTGGAGAGGGTCTGTCAAAGGCTCTATTGCTAGAGCTCCTGGTCCAAGAGGAGGGAAAACGAACGAACGAATGAATGAATGAATGAATGAATAGGGGGAGAGTCTGGGGAGAAGTAAAGGGGCTTTCTCCACGCGACAAGCAAGTCAGTGCTTGGGGGTGTGTTGAACACAATGCTTGGAGGCTGTGAGGACATGAACCCCAAGTGTAAAGAAGGACTTGGGGTTGTCTAAGATCAAACTGGTTGAAGAAAGGTTTACTCTTTTTTTCTGCTTTTTGGATCACACCCAGCGATGCACAGGGGTTCCTCCTGGCTCTGCACTCAGGAGTTACTCTTGGCAGTGCTCCAGGAGCCATATAAGATGCTGGGAATCGAACCCGGGTTGGCCGCAGGCAAGGCAAACGCCCTACCTGTTGGGCTATCACTCCAGTCTCAGAAATGTTTTAGTCTTAGGGACTGAAGGAGCCCTATGTCACATTTAAAACAGAGGTTGCCAAAATTATGTGGTCTCCTGTCTAAATGTCAAGAAGAAGAAAAAATCAACAGGCAGTCCCCTGGACATCTACCTTCCTTAAGCCAACAGGCTACGCACTCTCCTCCTACAGTTCCAGTGCCCCCTGCTGACAGTTACTTTGGGAACGCTAGGTTGTTTGTTTTGGTGCTCAATTATAAGGTGCATTTAATATTATATTAATTATATTCATATATTAATGTTATATTAATTCCAGTACAACATAAGGATTCGGTTCCTGTACAAATTATGTTGAGATGATGAGATATACAAATATATATATATTTCCTCCCTGCCCCGACCAGGGCTCCGAGAGCCGAAGACCTCCAGGACCAGCCACCACCATGCTGAGACCACTTTCCGCACACATGAAGGTACCGGCAGAGGAACAAAGGCACGCGGGTCCCGGGGCTGAGATCTCCAAGCCTACTCGGATCGGGGCTGAGCACCCTCCACCCAGATCCTCCGAATTCCAGTAGGCGGGGGTCACACCCACCACCTGGCCCCCTGGCGCCATGTAATCCCATCAGCCGCCAAGACTCAGAGACTATAAAATTCAGCTCCCGGAACCACGTGGCCGCGCGACATCTTATCAGGACATCTTTTTATGACATCTTATTATCTCATTCCTACTTTGGACAAACTTGCAGGCTATCGAATGTAGCCTGCCCACAGGGCAGAGTCTGGCAAACTCCCCGTGGCGTACCAAATATGCCAAATACCAGTAACAATGATGGGTCTCATTCTCCTAAAGAGCCTTGAATATAATCTCAGGGCTAGGATGAAGGAGACGTTACTGGGGCCTGCTCGAGGCAATCGACAAATAACAGGATGATGAATGAACAAATGAATATATATAGAAACCATTTTTTCTTGCTATTTTTTTCTTGCAAAGGTCCTCACCAGGCTGCACATTGCATCCTTATTAGAAATACCCATGACTTCCTTATTTTAAAACTGTATGTTTAAACATTTTTTACCTCTTTAACCATTTTTTGGGGGGGTTGGTTTTTCGGGTCACACCCGACGAAACTCAGGGGTTACTCCTGGCTCTGCACTCAGGAATCACTCCTGGCAGTGCTCAGGAGGCTGACGATATGGGATGCTGGGGATTGAAACTGGGTTGGCCGCCTGCAAGGCAAACATCTTACCTGCGTACTATTGCTCACCCTACTCTTGACCCATTTCACCTGTTCCACATCATCCCCTCCTCCACTCTCCACTTTTCCAGTCTAATCTCTGGCAACAACCAAACTACGCTTTGTGTGATTTTGGCATCGTGGTGTTTTTTGGGACGGACACCCATTTTTATGTAAGATTACATGGTACTGTGACATTGTACTTCGTATAATGTCTTCGAAGTCTGACCACGTGGATGTGGATAGTAAGACTTCAGTTTACAGAATGTTATGAAGCAACAGATTCAAAGGGGATGCTTCTGGGGGCTTTGAAGTATGATTAAAATTTGCATTGCCTGAGTGATCGATATTGATTTTGGCTTATAAGACTAAACTCCCTGCTTAAGTCTGTTGTACAAATGTTTGACTCCCTTGGGTCCTTATAATCAAACCTCTAGGTCAAGAATTCCCATTTTAATTATAGCATAACCTAGTTCACAACGCTAAAGAGGCTTCAGGTCTGCAGACTTTGGTATCAACATCTACTCATTACCTTATATTCACCATCAGAGTTCCAGTTTCCATCTATCACCAAATAGTGGACCCTTTTTACCCAATTTAATGTCCCCACTTCCTTTACTTTAAACGTTAATTTGTTTTGTAGCCTACAGGCTTGTTTCTGTTTTATTTGGAATGTTTGTTTTGCATCTCGATGTACCATGTGAGGGAAATCATAGTGTTTTCTTTCTCCATCTTATCTATTTCATTAAGCATAACAGCATGATGTTCCATCTATCGCTGACTGCAAATGGCAGGACATTCATCTTTTTTTTTTACACTGAAGTAATAATTCATTATCTATATATACATCTTTACCCAAGGCACTTGTTTCCAACCCTTAGCTACTGTGAATAAGGCTGTGACAAATATGGGCATATAAATATCTCTCCAAATTAGTAATTTACTTTAAGTAGATACCCAGATGTAGGATAGTTAGTTTTATATGGTTATTTCTATTCTGAATTTTGGGAGGAATCTCCAAGCTGATTATTAGTGGCTATGCCAATTTATCTTCCCTAATAATTCTGCAGTGTGATCTACAGAGCATTCAGCGTCAACATCACCTAAGAACTTTTTATAAATGCAAATTCTCATGCTCTGCTTGGAGCTACTAAACAGAGACTGGAGATGGAAGTTCAATACAATGAGTTTTAACAAATGCCGCGCAGGTAACTCCGAAGTGTCTTCAGATCGGAGGACCACGCTAGAGTAGGGGCTCTACATCGGACTGAGGCTGGGAATTACCTGGAGGTGTTTAAAACCATTGAGCTGCCTGGGTCCCTCGCTGGAGCTGCAATTTGAGGACAAACAGGTTCTAGACATTTGTGGGTGAGTCAGAAGCTCTCCAGACAACTCAGCCATGCAGTGAGAGACAAGAACCTCGCTCTAAGAACCGCTGTGTGAGTGAGTGTTCATTCCTTGGACAAATAACCAGGTATCTCATATTTTCTAGCTGGAAGGGGGAGGCAAGTCCTCTGTTTCATGGAGCTGATCTCTAGCATGAGAGAAATGGTGCAGAGACACTCCCCCCCCCCAACACACACTGTATAAATCATCTATTCGATACAGTCACACAACTCCTGAGAACAAAATATACATTACAAAGTAAACATTAAAAATCAGGGCACTGGAATAATATTAACCTCTGTTAGACTACTAGTTCTGCCATATTAGATATTTTGCAAGTTAACAATTTAACAACTATTTTTTTCTTTTTCTTTTACCTGCAAAACTGGGATACTAAACCTACAAGGCTGTTAGGAGAATTAAGGGAGAGAAGAGATTCTGAAGTACTTAGGACCATGCCTGGCAGAGTTAAATACTTAGCAACTGATAGTGTTCTGAGTATTAGTACTGTCATGAATAAGGCACAAAGGAAAATTTAATAAATTGATTTTTTTTTCTAGGGGAGAGAGGCTGGGTCACACTCAGTAATGCTCAGGAGTCACTCATGGCTCTGCACTCAAAAAGTGCTTGGAGGACCATATGGGATGCCGGGAACTGAACCCAGGTCAGCTGCATGCAAGGCAAACACCCTACCCACTGTACTGTCGCTCCAGCTAATAAACGGAATCAAATCAAAGTACGCTCTAGAAGCTGTATCTACTGAATAAGGACGTAACGAATTCTCCCAATAGTGTTATGGGATAGAGGTGGAGAGGACTGTCAGCTGAAGGGACCCCGGGGGAAGTTCAGTGGGGTCTGGCCTCCCTCAGTCCCCAAGGACCTCTCAAGATTACCTTGGCCTACCTGTGACCTGCCTATATACTCTCCGGTTGGAGAATCTCCCTGGAAAATCCTTCATTAATCCCAGACAGAGATTCTGCAAACCAGTGTTTTTCTTTTTCACTTCCAAAACTGACTACAAAATAATTATCATGACTTTAGGAGAGGCAAAAGGAAATGGTAAAAAAAAAAATCCAAAACAAACTTCTATCAAGATAATTCATTATTTGAGTTTCCGGTCTTCTCCCCGCCTTATTCTTAGAAACCTGTACTTAACAAAGGGATAATGACTATTTCTCTGTGCAGTTTAATTCTGTGACAGTACTTATCATTTCATTTTTTTTTTTAAAGCTGCAGAATGTTTTCTTACTTAGAAGCCTAAACTGCAGAATTGATAAAAATCAGTTTCTCTGAGCAGAAGCCAGGGGGTCTCCAGAATCGTTACTGTTGCCTATTCTCAGAGAGGGGAGTTTTATTTATTTATTTATTTATTTATTTATTTATTTTTTAAATCGAATCACTGTGAGATACTTGAAGGGTGCCCTAGAGGCCTGGGGGCATGTTCCTTTGTAGTCCGACAAAACATAATTGATTTTTGATGGAAAATTGTAAATTTTTGATTGAAAACTCGTCTTCATTTTTGGTAGGAGGATTATCATGGTGGGGGGTTGGAGGGACACTGGGACAATGGTGAAGGGAAGTGGACATGCTGGTGGGGGGTGCTGGGCTGTTTTATGC